TTTTTAACAGAAGATCTGTAAAAAAATCTGCATAGACTTTATTTCGAGTATGAATATGTTTCACAATTCTACAAATACAAATAAGACGATGTTTTACCAAAAGTTGATCAATTTATACTGAACAATGTGGAATCCACATATCGAAAATATTGCCATTGCAAACAACCCTTTCACCGCCTTCTTGACCTTATCGCAATAATAAAATACCATTTTATCAGTTTCCACCTTCGTAGATCTAAAACTCAGGAAAAATTCGTTGACGGATGACGTCTTTCAGGCATACATAGATAACATCGTCCGATTCATCTACCAAAAAACGTTTCACTCGGATTTTTATAGGCCAGGCTCCCCTGAACCGCTTTGGTCTTTATGCGTTCTTATTGGAAGCATAAACATTTAGGTACCGAGAATCGAAAGTATTGGATACTTTTTAAATCGTTACCGAGTATCGATCAATACTTAAAAGTACCGACTCAACACATCACTATTGATTTTGTGCCACAAAAGTGGTCCCTACAGCTTTACGTCGACTTTGAATGGCGATTGTATTTTATGAGAAGTTGTTTTTAATGTTTTAATGGCAGAAATACGCATGAATCAACTAAACAGATCACCCAGCACGGCAACCGTGTATTTGTAATTGCATTTGAGAAAAAAAACAAATAATTGATGACGTCATTTTTTAATCGGTTGTTTCATTCACACACATGGTTTCGTTCCTTTTCATTCACATGGCGGCGAAAAAATGACGTCATTGCAAAAAAAAATACTTTTTTTCTCGCACGCCGTCCTGGGTGATCTTATTCGTTCGTTCATGAGAAATACGCTCGAAAGTTCGCGCAGTTCTAACCACTACACCAAAGCCGCCTACATATGTAGCACCAACTAGAGCTTAATTCGGTATAATTTTGTGTATGTCTACTGTATAACAAAAACGTAATTGATTTGCAATGGGGTTTATTAAACCTCATCTACCGTAACTGTGTACGGAAGCCTGAATGTCCCAACTACGCTCTCCTTTGCTTTAAACGTTGCTGGAATTCATAATTGTCTTGCAAAGAAATAAAAAATTTGTTATTTCGAGAAGGAAGTAATAATAAGTTAAGGATATGACTGGATCTAGTTTCACCGTTTATTTCCTCTTCTTGATTTTTTGGCAGTAATTGCTCTACACAGACTGCTATTGTACTAAATAAATCATTGCATATATGGGTGTTTCTTGTGCGTTTAATTTCAGATTTGCAGAATACCGCCATGCAGGTTTTGTTGGAGCTGAACTTTAGGCAACGTAACTCTACCCGTCTTGCCATAATCCTCTCTGGAATGCTTGCATTCATCTTATTCAAAGATAGTACGAGAGGATGCCTCTTTCTAGGAGCTGCTTTGGCTTTGATGCTTAGGAATCCAACGATTGTCTATGCCTACGGGAACACTATTAAACGCGATATTGTGTAAGTGTAACGAACCTTGCCTCTCTCCATGTTCCCTTGCACGCTTATTTACGATTTTCCTTTTTCAGAGCCGGCTACCGCTTTGTCAGATTGACCATTTTCATAATGCTAATGGAACGCAAAAAATGGACGATAGCTCGCATTTTTCAAGAACGTGCGAAAAAGCACCCGCAAAAGCCCTGCTTGGTAATAGATAATCGATCGTTAAGCTTTCAGCATGTAGAGGAATACACAAACAAAGTTGGCTCATACTTCAAAGCACGTGGATTAAAACGGGGTGATTGCGTAGCACTGATCATGGAAACTAGACCAGAGTATGTGTGTCTGTGGCTCGGCCTCTCGAAGATTGGCGTAGTCACAGCGTTGATAAACTCTCATTTACGGCGTGACTCACTGCTACATTCCATCAAAGTGGCAAAGGCCCGCGTCATTATATTAGGTACCGAACTTACCGAAGCCTTGGAAGAGATTACTGATGATATTGAAATCAAAGCCATGCCAGTGTATCAATTCAGCGATGAAAATCAAAGAGACAATGATAACCTTCACCTTATTAACGGTAAGTTTAGGAGTTTTGGTGTTCAACAAACATTATAATAGCTCTTATTGAATGCAGGTGCAATTGACCTTTACAATGCCTTACAATTGCAACCTATTGAAGACTTGCGTTCGTGCATTGCCGCTTGCAGCCCTAAAGACAAGCTTCTATATGTGTATACATCAGGTACAACGGGTTTACCAAAGGCCGCGGTAATAAATAACTTAAGGTAAGTGAATTAGCACGTACATAGGTGAAATATCCTCTTACAGCAAACTACGATGAAAATGAACTAGTACATTAATTTATACATGCATTCGAATACATGTATGTAGATACTTATTTATGGCCAGCGGAATCTACCACTTGCTCGCACTCAGAGCCAGCGATGTGATATATAATCCATTGCCTCTTTATCATACTGCAGGTGGTATTCTTGGAGTGGGAAATGGTCTGGTAAATGGCTGTACCATTTCCATGCGTAAGAGGTTTTCAGCGTCGAACTTTTGGAAGGATTGCATCAAGTATGATTGTACAGTGGCTCAGTATATTGGCGAGTTGTGCCGTTATCTGCTGTCCACCCCGCCGAAACCAGAGGACACTGAACACCGTCTTCGCTTAATGTTCGGAAATGGTCTGCGGCCGCAAATTTGGTCGCAATTCGTATCCAGATTTAATATTCCGCATATCGGCGAAGTCTATGGGTCGACTGAGGGCAACTCAAATTTAGGTAAACGGTAAACATGAGTATTTATTAAAAATATTAAGAACACATTTTTTCTGTCATTTATAACTTTCAGCCAATGTAACGAATCAAGTGGGTGCTGTAGGGTTTATACCACTTATTGCACGTTACTTTTACCCTGTACAAATTATTAAATGTGATGAAGAAACGGGTGAGCCTATCCGAAGTTCTACGGGGTATTGCATACGCTGTCCACCCGGAGAAACCGGATTGCTTATAGGTAAGGTGAATCCGAAGCGCGCGGTGACTGCTTTCAATGGGTATGCTGATAAGGAGGCATCTGAGAAGAAATTGCTGCGAAATGTGTTTAGTAAGGGTGACATTTATTTCAACTCTGGAGATATGATGGTTCAGGACATTCTGGGATATTTCTATTTCAAAGACCGAACGGGCGATACATTCCGTTGGCGTGGTGAAAATGTTGCAACACAGGAAGTGGAAGCGATCATAACAAATGTTGTTGGTTTAAAAGATTGCGTCGTATACGGTGTAGATGTAGGTATATCCTACGCTTATTTTCACTATTGAATATTTACCGAATTCCTCATAGGTTCCTTACGTTGAGGGAAAAGCTGGAATGGCGGCTATAGTTGATCCCGATCGCAAAGTAGACATGCAACATCTATCGGCAGGAGTTCGGGGCAGTTTGCCAGCATTTGCACGACCTCTATTTATAAGGCTTATGAACGATATTCCTCGTACCGCTACTTTTAAGCTGAAAAAGAGGGAGCTTGTGCGCGAAGCCTTCGATATCCGTCGGATAAAAGATCCCGTATTTTACTTAAACAAAGATGGCATGTATCGCCTGCTTACACAAGAGCAATTCGAAGATTTGTTAGAGGGTAGAGCTGGACTGTAAATGAAAATGATTTCGAAGCTTTAAGAGATAATAGGAAGCTTTGGATTTTAGTTTAAGATTGAAAATTACAATGTTGTTAAGTCAACAAAAAATTGTATTTCCACAATACAATATTTTACTGGAAAATCAAAAAAAGGCAACACGCAAACCCGAAATTTATTAGAAATATCACGATTGCAAAGTCGAAGTAGTTCAAAAAAATGTTTAAAACATGTTTTGAAGGAGTAGATAGTATTTCACATGTAAACCATAAAACTAAAAGTTTCCGGATGTGGAAATATCATTTGATATCTATGTACGTTTAAGTAAAACGGGTCGCAATAAAACAATGAAGAGCCATATTCAATACAATAACTTCCATATCACACACCTAGATCTGAAGTACGATCAACTCGAAAAAATAAAGATTTTTTTTTGCATATATTAAAGCATTGGACTTACCTCCAATGAATGCAAATATTGTTTTCTTCATGATTATATACACTTACTAAAAAACTATTGTTATTCCTGCTTTTGTATTAATTGCGTTAAATTTGTGCGATCCACAAGCAGCTATATTTCCCGAACTGAATTTTGAGTTAGCTCACTTTAGATCTGGGTGTGCGATATTATCTTGCGTTCAACTGCTAAAAATTCTTATTCTGCGCCGTTTCAAAGCAAGTATTTAATTAGTTAGGGACTTGGCAATGCCAATTAGCGTCAGTTGACGCAGAAGAGAAATAGCTGGCATATAAATGTTCTAAATTCTCCCAATTTAAGGGGTGATTTAACCATCGTTCGAAAAATTCGTTTTATAAAGAGAAACTGGAAATCGAAAAATTAAGAATTACGTAGTATATTTGCAAAGTCGCGCGAAGAGATCAAATTATATGCTCGAAAACTGCATAAATGTTGCATTTATTCTGTGAAATTTGCGTGTTCTTTAGTCAGCATTCTCGATGGGTTGTTTGTTCTTTTCTCAAATTGTTGCCCTCTGGCCCGACAAAATAGAGCTGGAAAACAATTGATGGTACAACCAATAGTATCGATAATTTCCAATTTCCCTCACTATCGATGTTTTTTCTGTAAATATCGATGGTTTTTCTAACAAGTATACCATTTGTTAGAAAAATATTTTGACTGCGTTTCTTTTTACATTCCGGATAATCCCATTTCACAGCCGGAATAAACAGAATGCGTTTGAAATATACGTTAATATATCACAAGGAGCGTTCTAAAGAATAAGTAAACAAAAAAGTTTATTCCAAACGTTCAGAATGAATAAAGAAATGCAGCCTTTATGAAAATATCACACATTTTCGGTTCTATTAACGAATTCATCCAAGGTATGATTTTCGTGCAATCTTTTAAAGTTTATAAATTAATGATTATCTAGACCAGAGATAGGCAAAGTGGCTCCCAGGAGCCTTTTGCACTTAGGAGCCGGCTTGGCAGATTTAGGTGTTAGATGTAGGCTTGCCAACCGTACTATAATATAAAGTATTGTACTATTTTTTCGGACTATACTGTTGGAAAAAATATACTACGCAAAAATACTATATTCCTTTAATTCTAAATATTAATATATTTCAGTAATTTGCAAGGAAAAATGTATATTACAATGGATGAGCTTTATCCTCTAGTAAAAATATTGAAAGAAATATTCTTTAAAATAAAAGGTCATACTGAGATTAATAATAGAACCACAGATCAAAAATTGCAACATTTTTAAAAATTAATTACCAAATTTATTTAAAATTATTTCGTTCCTACTCTCTTTACCTGCAACCAGGGTTGCCGTTTTGGGCTTTTCCTACCAAAATTGGTAGGTTTTTTGCTCATTGGTAGGATGGTAGGACGCTTAAAATGTTGGTAGGTTTCTTTGCTCATAATACAGAACACAGCTCTGGTTTGTTGTAGTGTGTCACTTGTTCAGCACTGTGTGTAGGCTTGCAAAATTGGGACAAAATCAATTTTACCCTCATTCTGTTTCTTGGATGTGTCCAACTGTTTGCTAAATACCTTAAAAAACTCGTTGCTTACTGGTATAGGCAGAATTTCACCAATTACCTTCGGCGATTCTCTGAACTCCATATACGCTAAAAATAGTTGTATCCACTGGGTATCTAAAGCGATATCAAGTGAGTGAAGTGATGGACGTAAAGGCAGGTTTATAGATCAGATCTTTTTCTTTGACATGCAGTGGCGAATCGATAATAGATTCAACAGTGAAAAGGCTTTTGAAATATTTTAAATGGCACTAGAAGGGCGATCCAAATGCATATTACATAACAAATGTACGTGTTTACAGAATATGTTATTTTTTATCATACACGAAAATTAAAAAGAAAACAACTTCTTCAGTAAATCGGAGGATCTCAAAGTTTTTAACCGCAACTCGAAGAAGTTAATGGCAAACCCGCAGCACGCAGAGTTTTCCCCCAGCGGGGCGGCTCCTAGACCCGGACATTTTGCAAGCCCAACCGTGAGGCTTATTTTTACCTTACTTATTTATGTACATATACAGTCAGTGTCAAAAACATGAATACCCAGACGTTTCTTTATTTATATTTTCCATACCAATTGTTTATTTTTTTTTATAAAAATATAGTTAGTTCAACAGCAAAACCAGCAGAATCAATTTTTTAAATTTCATAAATAACTCGGGAAAATTCAAGAACTACCTAAAAATTGTTTTCAAAATTTTCAACTTTGCAACTCCATTTCTTAGAAAAGTTCTGGGTATGCAGTTTTATTAATCTTCCAAGTAAACAAAAAGATCGGAATAATAGTTAGTATATAGTTATTTAAGTACATATTATACATAGCACAAAAAACGGCGTCTGCTTTGCGAAAAACCGAAAAAATTACAAAAAGTGCGCATGGTTTATAGTTTTAATAAAGCCTGAAATATATATTTATATATATAAATAAGCTATGAAATAAAAAAAATTGGTTCTGCTGGTTTTTGCTGTAGAATTAATTATATTTTTATAATAAAATAAAAAAAAAATGGTATGGAAAATATAAACAAGAAAGTCGTCAAAATGTCAGGGTATTCATATTTTTGACGCTGACTGTATATACTTCATAATAAATATGTGTATGCAAATGAGTTATGTATAAAAATTCTACGTCGGAATTTTATTTTTCTGCTACGATTTTTCGCTTCATTTACTCCAAAGGCTTTATTAAAACTTTATTTTGTCATTTTTTTCGGTTTTTCGCAATTTATCCGAATTTATCTTTTTGTTTACCTGGATATCTTATTTTAAGTATAAAAACCAGCAAAAAAATGTATTTACTGCCGTCAAACGCCGTTTTCTTAAATGGTAGGAAATAAGCCATTTCGGTAGGGTTTTGAACCAGCGCTTGGTAGGAAAGAAAGTTTTTCAGTGGTAACCCTACCTGCAACTTCGGCATTCACATAGAGAGTTTTTTCCATTATGAATGTCAAATGGGGAGATGAGAGAAACAAAGCGACTACCTCACTAATAAAAATGAACTTTTGATTTATAATAATTTAAATATTGACTGCGTTAAAGCATATGATACTTTCAAAGAAATTCAAAGAGAAAATAAGAAAGAAAAAAGAAAGATTTACACTTAAAAAGCGTTTTAATTCTTTCTTTTAAATATAATACTATATTTATTTGAAGTGTACTATATTTTTTTAGATTTTTTTGAGAAAGTACTATAAATTTCTTAGAAAACGTTGGCAACCCTAGTTAGATGAGGGGTAATATCAAGAGACAGCATGAAAGGGGGAAGAGGGGCGTATTAAAATTTCTTGTACTCCGACGCAGGATGCTCTTAACGCATTTTTTACACCCCTTTTACCCTGGGAACTGATTTACATCTTGCGTAGCACTTGCTGGCTCTTTGACTGCTCCAAGAGCCAAAAATCTGCCCATCCCTGGTCTAGAAAAATATATAATTTGACGAATATTTTATGGAGCTGAAATTACCGCCAAACTAAAAAATCCCCGGGCAATAAATTAATTCGTATTGATATTTTGGTTGTCTCAAGCAATGGTTTCTATAGTTCATAACAGTCAAACCAGGAATTATACAGCTTTTAAATGTATACCAGTTCATATTTAAAACTTGACCAGTTAAACAAGGACGTTAAATATTCAGCCAAACTCAAAATTGTTTTGGCTAAGACCGCGTATGTATTTATGTTTATATTTTTAACAAGTAACAAAGTCTAAGTTCGGGCGGAGCAAGTATTAAATGTAGTTTTTACACCTTTCCGAAAACTACCCCTGTATGGTAAGGAGGGATGGTTTTACAACCATTTCAAACATCTTCGATAGAACGTTCAGTTAGAAATAATGAGATAAACTTATATAGATATATATGAGCGGCATCACGCATATTTTCCAAACCTCCATAATAACGTTACTTCTTTTCAAGAAATTGTTGTTAGAATCAAGTTTGAGTAAATTAGCGTCTTTAAATGGCGAAATATCGAAGTTTCAAGTATTTTTGGAATTTACTGTTATATGAAAAGTGGGCGTAATTTTAGTCCGATTTCAAGAAATTTCAACGTTTTGCTTTTGTGTGGCAAGCGCAATAATTATATTATATATTATATATATATATATATAGATATATATATTATATATTATATATTATTATAATCGTACCAAGTTTCGTACATATTGATCGAACGGTTACCGCGATACACATATGTAGCCATAAGTGGGTGGTGCCACGCCTATTTTCCAAAATTTTATCATAAACGTATTTTTTGCTAAAGAGTTATCGCAAAAATAAATTTTGAATAAATTAGCTCCCGTATTTACTGATTTATCGAAGATTTCGTATTTCTCTAAATTACCGTTAAAGGGAATGTGGGAGTTATTATTGCCGGATTTTTTAAATTTTTAGCTGTTTGTTATGGTGTACGGAGGCCAACAATTGAAACAAGTTTATGAGAAATTGGTGAAATGGTTTCCGAGATATAAACATGTATTAATAAGTAATAATAATGGCTACACCCATTTTCCAAAAATTTATGATATTCTTATTTTTCGTCTAAAAATCATTGTAAATATTAATTTTGAGTGAATAAGCTTCAGGAGTTACTAAAATATTGCAGTTTTCGTATTTCTGAAAACTACCGTTATATTGGAGATAGGCGTGGTTATTGTTAGATTTTGCCCATTTTCAGTACCATCTGTCCTACGCTGAAAAGAATTACACATAACAAATTTCGTTAAGATATCTACCTGATAATCAACTAGCTACTGGCTTATAAGTGCATAAACCGGGGTTTTAAAACGCTTTTTTCAACTTGCAATGTTGTATGTCCAGACCACCATTTATACTGTAAATTTAGCAAAGCATGCTTAAAAAGAGTTATGAAAACTCAGCGCGATAAATTACACTAAAATGAAATGGCCTATAGAACT